GTCATGTGATCTCAACATGGTGGCACCCTTAATACTACTGATAAGATTGGGGTCTGTTTTACACATATTTTCTATTATGTCAAGTACTGAGATGTATTCCTTTACGCTTTAAAAATTTTAATGAAGTTGAAAAAAAAAAGACAGAGCACATTTAATTACCATTCACAATGAATCTGTGACCATCAAATATGCTGATACTGAGGATGTCAGGCCCCAAACATCAAGCGTTTTGGCTCCTGATGAATCGATTTGCATAACACCTACAAATGGTTCTGGCACTAGACTCGAGACGGCATTAATGGCAGGTGTGGGCTCCGAAGTGACAGGGGCCCAGCGGTGTGATCAATCTCAAGGAGAGGCAGGGTGAGAGAGGAAAGTGTTTGAGGTAAATTTCTTTATAAATATAGCATGTCTCATGAAATATTCACCGCGACGATCTGGTGAGCCAAGGGTCAGAAATAACTCCCCGTCGCAGCACTTGTTAGACGTGTAAAGCTGTGTGAGTGTGCTAGGATGGTGTGAGTGGAGAGAGAGAGAGTGAAACTTTGACAGAAAAAGGGGCCCATCATGGCAAAAGACATGTCCACCATCTCACCACGTGGCCACCTGGCGTTCCTATGGTGACAGAATGCGAGCTAACTGGTGCAGCCTGCTGTGAGCTTTTAGATTGAGCACTAATGCAATTGTATGGCATTTTATAGTCACTTTTTAATAACAACAACAATATATTTATGTTTATTCCTTCCTCAATACTGATAGCCCTAGGTATTAAACTTCAATTAACTGCTAAACTGCTTAACATGCATTAACATCAAAACTTTATTTGAACAAATAATCTGAATTATCAAAAATTAATAAATCAAATGATCTAAAATATTTGTTTTAGATCATTTGAGATTTTGGTTGTTGTTGTTGTTTTGTGTAAACTTTATATTTTTAATATTGAAAAAGAGTAACATTGATAGAATGTTCAACATTCCGATGATAACAGCGATGACAGAGTATTGCATACCGAATTCCGATTAGTCTTGCTTCTTATACCTGTTTGCATAACGAAATGTGACTAGTGTAATATGTGATTAAATGTGATTTTTTTTTACGTCTTGGATGTCAGTCAACATAATATGACTAAATAAAAATAAATAAATAAATAAAATAAAATCAAAACGATCAAAAAAGTAGTGCAACCAAATATATATGGACAAATCAAAACCCTTAAGAAAATGTTTGCTTTCTATTTGACACTCTTATTTTCATACTGATATTTAAGCCAACCTCAAATGCAACATTGGTTTGGAATGGTACATGGCTACATCACCACACATGCACACCAAGAAGAGCTTGATTACAACCAACACCAAACACTCCTTTATTTACGCTCTTTATTTACACCACATCTGATTCAGTTTTCCTGAAAAACTAAAACACAACCATCCCTGTTGGATGCTGTAGAACACAAACAAACAGATGACAAACAGAGCTTGGCACAATCTTCTTTCCTTCCACCATCACACATGCATATTTAAAACGTACAAATTTTGCATCTGACCACTTATATGTCATAAAGTCAGTGACTGCGAATTCAAAAGCAGATTTGGAGAATTAAACATCCATAGGCAAAATAAAAGAGATGGAAGAGGAAGCTTACATTCCCTGAAGAATGTTGATTACTCCAGCTGTATTTAGACATGAATATGTAATAACTTGACCAGAGCCTGCCTTAACCAAAAACACCTATTCTAAGATTTTATGCGTAATATTATCTCATAATCCTTTTGTTTCAGGTTCATGAGATCATATTAAATTATTGCTCTTTAATTAATGCATCCTCACAGCGAACCTGCTCAGTACAATGCACCGTGGTTCATAGCACCTCTATCTGAGATCTATAATGAAATAACAAGTACCATTAAATGCCTGGCCAGCTTCAGCAGGATAAGCCATCTAGATGCATTAAGGGGTGGTAAATGTCTTATTTATTTGTTTATTTACGTATGTATTTCACATTTGGACTGCTTAATGGTGCACAGTGGCAACAGCCAGCTATGTCGGCCATCTCAGGGCCCTCTTTTTCAGTGCCACTGAACTGTTTTAACCTAGCTGTGTGACACGAGAGGGGCTCTAGTGGCTCGTGCATGCAAACCAAGCCCTCCCAATGCCCCCAGCAGCAGCTCCTATCGCCTGAGGGTATGCAGAATGTCATATTTTATTTAATTAGGGCTATTAAATATAATTAAATTCTGCTGAAACTTAAGACGCTAAGTGGCAATACAATACGGTGCCGAGCGAGCCTGTGTCCTGCTGATATTTATGCGAGAAATATTGAATTCAACCCTCAAGTGGTTCCTCTTCAATGGCTGTCCCGTATTGTCATAGATAACGTTGACTTTTTCATACACACTAATAAAGAATAAGCCACTGGGAGAATCATCGCTAAAAGCAATTTCTGTAATCAGAATACTTTATCACAAGGTCTTTTTCGACTGATTATAGGGTTTCCGGAGCAAAGCACACAATGTTTAGTTATCATCACGGAGTCTCTAGAGAACAGTTATGTATATGTGACTTAATGAAGTTGCCGTTTAGTACCTTCACTCAGCCAAAAACCAAGAATCACTTGGATGATTTTCCTCCTAAAGGCCCGTAATGTACGCAAGATATGAGCCGTGATATTGGGAACGTTAACTTCAGGAAGGAAGGCCAGAAATGATGCTCTTCCTGTTGGACTATCTGTGAATCACATGTGAGAGGCCAAGAAGAGAGGGCTGATGTGATGGAGGCTGACGTGTAGGAATGAAGCGGTGGAGTTTAAGACCTGTCACAACATTGCTCGTGTGTCAAGGTTACTCGGACGGTTTAATGAAAAGATCAAAATGCACTCTGGCCTAAAAAAAAAAAAAAAGATATGAGGGTCTGGAAGAGCAGGGAACTCTTGCGAATATAAGGTTGGTCTGACCAGAGTTAGCTTTTGGAATCTTATTAATAGATTCAGAAGTGGTCTTCCTCCAACATCTCTCTCTCTCTCCCGCATTCTCATGCTTTCTCTCATTTCTCCACTTGAAGCTGGCGGATGGATATATTATAGAAGAAAAAAAACAAATTCATGAAAAATGATCTGTGCTTTGCCGAGCAAGAGTACCACTGCTATTTTCAAGGCGGAGTGGCTGAGTGTTTTTTTGCGTGTCATTTTCTGTTTCACGTCGAGAACAAATGGAATGGGAAAGGTTTAGCATAAAAGAATACTTTAACCTGCTGGGAGGCAATTATGAATACAAGGCAGCCTGTGAGTGTTTAGCCGCATGCTCAAGCTGACATTCAAGCGTCTTAATCACTTTCAGAGGATGTTTCATCTGCCGTTATATTCTTCTCGGCGAACTGCCTCCCTCTCCAGCCCTGAATTAATAAAAGGTGTAAAATTTACTCTTGCTAACTGCAATATGATTTACAAAGGCAAATGTTCACCTTTCATATGCCATTTTTCAAATTCTGAAGTTTAAATGAGATTAAAACTACTTTTCAGTGTGGATCTTTTCACAAACGAAAGAGAGATTTAGTCATTTTAGATGGCATTGACTGAAATAATATTAATTGGATAATCTAATACTATCACACATTTTTAATTCACAATAAAAGTAACATGAATAGTGTCCTTCTTCCTTTTTATCCTTAAAAATACAAGCTAATGTTTTAACATTTACAAAAAGAGAATTGTCAAGAACAAAAATTTATTATATTCCGAATAAGTAATTTAAAGGTTTACATCAACAAAAATTGATATATTTTTACAAAAGATAAAAGAGAGACGCAAACACCCATGTGAAACTGGCTCAAACTATAATAATTATATAATATAATACAGTCAAACTATGAGAATGATATCTGTGTGTGTCTTTGCACTAAAACATTAGTTTTTGAACCCTGACCTAAAGTTTGTTTTTGTGTGTGTGGTTAGCAAAGCGCACGCTTACCAGTCAGTCTTTAAAAAAAGGAAACATCAACGACGAACTGTAGTGGAACAGTTTGCACGTAACTGTGTGGATGCTTGCATCATATTTCACAACTGACGCCAACACTCTCTCGGTGCGAGCAGCCAGCCAGTCAGTCAGTCTGGGAGTGAAGTCTGCCTGCATCATGTGAGGTACTGAGTAATTTAGCAGCGGCCTCATTATTACAGACATTTAAATACACGAGGCATTGTGGTGGCACGGAATAAATTGTCTCTGATGCCGCGGGTAACGTTCGCAAATAAGGATTGTGAGGCATTAAAAAAACGACGTTATTAAAAACCGAGGCAGTGTCATAAGCCGCTCCCCTGCGTTTCCCCCGGTAACTTTGTCCAACCTAGAATATTATTTTATGAGACCCATTTCCCAAGATCCCTCCGGGTTCTTTGAGAAGGACTTGACTGCGCTGTTTTGTAAGATAACTGGGAGAGTTCTCTCCCTACAGCTGGACTAAACTAAACTGCCTCTTTACCCCTATTCAATAGGAAACTCACTCTTTTAATCCTACTCTATTTCTTTCTTTCTCTCTCTCCCTCTTTTTTTTTGTTTTTTTTTGAGCGTTTGAATTTTAATGAGCTTTTCACCTTTAAAAGCAGATGGCTCAGGCTGGATTTCTCCATGAAAGTAGGGTGAGTTCTGTCACGTCTTGCACAATTTGTTTCAACTACCAGAGTCCTTCAGGGGGTTTTAGGGCTTTGAGTCAGTAATGTGATGTTTCACTTTGCACGGCGTAGGCTCCCCTAATGAAATCAGCTGAAGGAAAAACAATCTCTCTCGAGGCTCGCAGATGAGCGGTATCACAATCACTACAGGACGCCCAGAGTCCTACCGAGGTAAATGAGTGCGTGTCTCCCTTTGTCTGCAACTCTGCAGGCTCTAAGTGTACGTTTGCGCACATAAGTATTAGAAAACACGCTGGCGCGAGAGAACGTGTGAGTTCATTAGCGTCAACTTCGTACGCCTGCTCAAAACTTTTCTGGAGAGAGTTTGACCTACCTGCCAGGCCACTTTCTTGCTTGGGGCAAATTCCTTTTGGGAGCGTCAACAGTCTCTCGTCCTCTTCTTCAGGCGTCACCTGGATTCCAATTTCGACCGGTTCCACCACTTTCCTCAGCTCTGCGCGGGGCGGCGAGGGGCTATTGCGGTCTGCCATCTTGTCGTAGCAGCCATGGCCGGTCGTCAGACCCTGGCATTGCTTTTTCTTGTGCTCGATGAAGAGCAGAATGTCCCCCAGGGGAAAGGTTAGTTGGCACTGGCCACAGGTGAGGAGGTCGTGGTCGCCCAGGCCCGGAGGCAGAGGCCCAGTCATGCTGGGATCCAGCAGCGGGTGAGGGTGAGAGTGGAGATCAGCCACGGCCAGTCCTGCATCCACATGCTCAGCTTCCGCTTTGGGGCAAAGCAAAAGAAAGAAGCGTTTTGAGATAATAGGAAATTCTTAACAAATGCTCCATCTGTGCACAAATAAACAGTGCATATTAGTCTAAACAAAAAAAAATTTATTTAAACTTAATAACTTACTCTGCTACTGAAATTAGTTTGATTTCTGCTGATGTAACCAAGGCCATGTGGGTGAGGAAATATATTATCCAAAAATAATGTGCTTAACCTGATTTCAGATCCTGATAATTACAATGAAGTCCCGCCCTAGATTATTTTCCACATAATATTCAGTTTCACTCTGAAATATGTCACTTCATGCATTTAGATTCATTCAGATACATCAGCATGGGAATTCGAAATAAAATACTAGCCACTTATTTAATTTTATTATTTAATAACTATATATTTTTTAATTTCTGTTTCACTCTGAAATAAGTCACTTCATGCAAATTTAATGCATGCGTTTACAAATAAGTTGTCACTGTATCTGTATCTATCCATGCTTTTTTAAAATCTTCTTTTTCCTGTCTTCTTACACAAATTAATTGAAAAATCATAGAATTACAAGGGAAACTGCTTGTAATAAAATAAAATTTATTTAAAAATTATTAACCAATAATATCATAGCATAACATAAAATACCCTTACTCAATCAAAAACAAAATCAAGTCTCAATCTAAATTATTTCCTGCTTAATATTCAGTTTCATTCAGAAATGCACTAGTCATTTTATGCAAATTAAATGCATTAACAAACATTGATTCATCTTTAGCTCATAATTTGCCACTGTATTTACATCTATCCATGCATCCCTAACCGCCTTCGCCCTAACTAATTCATTAAAAAAAAAAAGACTTAAACACACCAGCACATCAGTGAGGGAAATTGAAATAAAATACAAATGGCGTGGAGCTTGAGACATAATCACACATTTTCTAAAAGTTCAGGGTCAGGTCATTTAGCATTTTGTTATTTGGCAGCTTGTTAAAATAAAGGAAATGAATGTTGGGGCCCGTTTAAGTGTTCACCTACGTCCCATGACAGTCCCACTAAACTTCGAGAGCAGAAAATAAAGGCAGACTTAAATTTAATCATCCCAGCGGCCACACACGAGGCACTTTGCTCCAGTTCAGCGTGTTCTGTCCTGTAACCAGTCAACTCTTAATAAACATCCATATGTGAGGCCGAGACCCAACATCAAGGCACTGTTATTAATATACAATACAGTATTTGTGAGGTTGAGAATGAGACCGCCAGACCTGAAACAGAAAGTCTGAAGGGAGAAGAAATAAAGAAAAAAAAGCAAGAAGGAAGGAGGGAGGGTTCCGTTTTTGGCTGTGAGAGATATTTGCGCAGCCATGAGAGCAAGAGGCCCTGCAGATCTTCTGGTTGATTCTGTCACCTAGATAAACAGCGCGGAGCGGCGGGCGCTCAAACCACAAAGTACGCTGGACAACCTCAGTCCCTCTGCCTCCATTTTGAAATTTCAGCCTCACCTTTCAGCACGCGGCCACAATCATCCCTTTGTAGCCCAACGCCGAGTGCAAGAGCAGTTTTATCAAAGACAGTAGAGGCCCTTGACAAAGCCCCCTCGGGACCCCCTGACAGACAGCTCTGTTGATGTTACATTTGACAGCTTATCCTTGCGCCATACTAATCATAAGATCTAGACAAACACCTCTCTGACTGCCACTTTACACTCTTCAGCTTCCTGTCACTGCTTTCATGCTCTCTCTACTCAACACACTGCATGATTTCGGTGAAAGCGGGGAAAAAAGAAGAAAAACACTACCATAGCAACACTTAGAGCCACACAGCGAGCAGGTGCAGATTTTTGAAGTGCACATAAATCTGGAAGGAGAATGAAGGGAGGAATTCTCAAATTGTCAGAGCCTAAAGGACAAATGTGGGATGCTTTTAAAGAAACAACAACCTTGTGGAACAACACAAATTAGAATTCATTTATTACCATTTTAATTTTCAAATCTGGCCTGCGCACTTTAGACGCTTTTCACCAATATGAGGCCTAAAAGTCTCTTTGAGAAACGCCGTGAGAAGAGACAGACGGCGATAGAGACAAAGATGGAGAAACGGACCACGCTGCTCACACAACACAGGTAGCCCTGTTTACATCTCCCAGAGGAACCGGCTAACCACTAATTTTCGATGATATATTACGAGCAGCCTGCGCATCCATCTGCAATTTGTCCACGGTCCAAATTATGAATGCGGACAGATTTGTAATGTCAAGCTCAGAATGCAGCTTTGAAAACGAAACCATTAAACCCCCTCTTATCTTTATTCCAGACGATACACACTACATTAGAGCAGCTTTAGATGTGCATCCTGTTAAACAACAGCATCTAAAGACTTTGTAATCATATTAAGAAAGCATTTTGATTAAATAAAGCATTACAAAATATATATATATATATATATATTACATCTGCACACACATGGCACCGTTTTCAGATTTTGCACTATATTGAAGGAAATAACTGAAGATGACTAAGGTTGTTGAACCCCCCTCAAATCCAGCCCCCCTGACTCAGACAAATAGGAGTGGAGCACAGACCCCCTTCGGGCAATATCAGGCCATCTGTGCATTAAATTAGTTTGCATGTAAATAAAGAGAAACGCCTGCACAGAGACTCATCAACCTATGCAATACACTGCATTAAAAATATGACTGTGGCTACATTGTTGTTAGTTACTTACTTCAAATAAATAATTTTGTTATTTAAATTTTAATATTCATTTATTTTGAATCACAGACATTTTTTGGGATATTTGGGTATTATGAATAGAGGTATTAAGTGTTAAACTATGAGTATTTTTTAATCAATTATATTGCATATTAGGTTATAGGCAGAAGTAATAAGAAAGTAATAAGAATAAATGAACTGTTATTTTTTTATTTTATTTTATTTATTTTTTGTGAGAAGTGAGAAGCTTTTGTCAGGAGGCTACATATCCAATGTCACAATTTACTAAAAAAAAATAAAAAAATAAAAATTTTTAAATCTTCATTTTACATAATAATGTTCCTTTTTAATTTAAAGCTTTAAAAAAAATAATGATTTAAATCAATATTTTTATATGAAGACTTTGTGACTCACCTGTAAATAATTTTCTCTATCGCTGGGGAAGGTCTCACAACAAAAACTATTTTACATATATCTGTAACTGTACTTGCAACTGTGAGCAATATGCGTGCATGTTTGTGTGTCACGCATTTGTGCATCCTGGGATGCTGCACCAGCAGAGGCGCGCACACACACATGCATACACAAATAAACACTACTACAGGAAGAGGTAATTTTCAAATGATTCACAAGTTCAAGAAGACAACATGAACCACAGAGCATATTTTTGGCATTTGTAACAGACTCAGATAAACAGCTATAATTCACCAAACAGGTTATAAGTTATACAATAAAAAAATAAGTTATAAGCTCTCAAACTGCGTAACAGGAGGTTAGAGTGAGATTGCAGCCTCTCAGTACTGTAGGAGAGAATTTGAGGTGCGCTAGTGGAAAGCGTTAGTTTAATGTGTCATAGGTCTAGCACAGACCTGAATCAAAGTGACAGCTGGAGAAAAAACCCAGAGTGGTAAAGAACGTGCGCAGCTGAAATTTTCTCTCTCCCTCTGTCCCCTTCTTTTGCTCTGTCTGTGCCAACCACAGGAAACACGCTGCTTGCAAGCAACGCCGCTAGTACGCACTTCAAAAGAAGGGACCCCCGTATGCACAAACACACACACACCAGGTGTTGTAATCATGTAAACATACGGCAGAGTCTTGGATTTGCCTATAAAGTCTGAACTAATCCATAGGTGAGTTAAATGCTTCAAGATGTCAATTATTCACCCTCATTTTGTTCAAAACCTGTATGACGTTTTCCGTGTAGAATGTCTAAGCAGCTTTTTTTCAGGAGAATAAAGGAGAACGGTAATTGTTAAGCAAAATTTCAGTGAATAACGACTTAAATTCAGTTGAAGACTGAATATATAAACAACTGTGGAAAAGAGCAGCTCGGACATTCTTCCAAATGTCTCCTTTTGCTTTCCACAGAAAAAAGAAAGTCATACAAGTTTGGAAAGACAAGAGGATAAATAAATGACAGAATTTTCATTTTTGGAGATCTTTTCCTTTAAATAACTCTGCGGAAGGTATGAGATTGAACTACGCAGGCCCGATCCGATGGTGTACGTTTCCTGCTCTAGGCAAACAGGTGAGAGTCTGCAATTCCTCACAGTCACACACACTCACACTCTCACACACACTCTCATCCACCAGTGATAACAATGCTGTCACCAAGGTAACATTACAGCTCATGATTTTCTCTGATCCCTCAACAAATACTCCATATAATTCTATCAGGGCCACCGAAATGTCAAATGTTATTTGTCTTTATCAAGCACTCTCTGGCAGCCGGAGAGAAAGACAGTGAGGGACAGTGGAAGTAAGAAAGCCTGAATAATATTTATAGGTGGCTAAAAAAGGATGATATGAAATTAAATCTCGACTTTGGACACTTACTATTATACCTCTATTTCATTTTTGAATGAAAAAAGTGCAAGAAATGGACTATTTCTCATGCACATGCTACCTTGACATCCTGAAATCAGTCAAACGTGGTAATGTTAAAAATAAGCCTCATTAACCTAAGAAAGCTACATGTACAGTATATGAGTCAGAATGAACACTAATGGGATTTCACTAAAACATAAAACTAAAAAAAGACATGGCTTCCAAAAATGAACGCATCACAAGGCACGTCTTAACACAGTTTTGGATTTATCCTTTTCCATTCTGGATTTACGCACCATTGTTCAGGGGCCCTCTGACTCATACTTAACGGAGTCTTTTTGTTTGTGAGGAACCAAATTGCTGTTGACAGGTATTTGGCTGATCACAGTACAGTCTGGCTTTCCCTCCAAAACACACAAAGGTCTGCGAGTTATGTAACAACGCTTTAGCAGCCCCGCGTTAACGTACCTTTCATCCTTAGACTGTTACCCTGCAAACCCTACCATTAATGCTCAGCGCTATTTGGCTCACAGTTGAACTGTTGAGATTTTCCGTAGCGATACCAGAATGAAAAGTCACAGTCAAACAGGTTTTGGAGGGTTTTTTAGCCATTGCAACTGTTAGGGCCTAATTAGACAACACACACCATTTAACGGATTTCATATTGTTTTTTACTGGGTCCATAAATTTTCCTATTTAAATCTTGAAAGACTTTATAATGCTGCCCAGATATAAAGATTTACCCTGCGCCAATTAAAGCCATTCACAGAACTGTGTGCGCGGAGGGCAGAGCGTGCTGAAAATGAAAGCCAGGGGAAGGGCCTAATCAAACAATAAAAGCTCCGCTTTACTGTTTGTGCATTATTTTCCTATGTTTCCCATCAGCCCGAGCTGCACAAGAGCAGAAGCAGTGGGTGGGGGCTTCGCTAGTCACGCTGCTACGTACACAAACCTGACCACACCAGCCCACAAACTCCAATTCAGAAATACCCACCCGTTACCCAAGCACAAAACAGAGATGCAGGCTAGCTGAGTAGGACAGGCTGGATTTGGGTTGAGCCTTCCACTCAGACGGCCGGCACGCAAACAAACAAACAAACAGGTCTGCAAAGAGGTAGCAAGTCAACGGCAGCCATCTTTCCAGTCATTTCACATTTGCAAAAGGCCTGTGTAACACATGCACATGTAGCAACGGTGCTTACAGGAATCTATCAGGAATTAATTCGTCTGTCATTAATCTGTAACCCACAGTCAAACGAACGCACGCACGCACGCACGCTCAAACAGCAAACCTCCGCCTTGCACTAGGCCTCTAGTTTTTCCTGTTTTCTCTTGTTTAAAAACTTCTCTGCGACCTGTTTGTTTAGCTAAATATGTGTCAAAAGGTATGACATAAAGCACTCTTCCACGAGGGGCACCATCATGTTTTAGCTCTGTTAGCCTGAAGGCCTTTGCAAAATCCTGTGAAATAAAAAACAAAGCGCTGTCTTGTTCAGGATATTTAGCTGCTTTAGCTTGCAGAGCACTTCTGTGCAGATGCAAAGGTATTAAAACGCTACTAAATGCGTGTGAGGTGTGTGTGAGTGTAAAGCGTGGTGCATGTGCAAATGAAGCTGTTAACAAGAAGAGAACAGGGATCATCGTGGCACACGGTGGCGGTGGCGGAATTTTAAAAGCGTGATCCGCGACCACTGCGGCGGCGCTAGTCCATTGTTTAATTAAAAAAGGGGGAGAAATAGAAAATGAGTCGTCTTGCAGGTAAAAAGAGATTAACATGATGATGTCCACTGGGAGCCCGTCTAAGCAACGCTAACCCTTTATCGGCAAATCTCATCAGGGAGATATTACCTAATATTTTCACAAGGAAAGGAATTATGGGTAGCTGAAACGACTAAATATCACCTGAAGCTTAGCATCTCTCTTTTTTTCCCAGCAAAGGTTTTCATTCTAATGAAATAGCACCAAAAAAGGCATGTATATCACAATCACGGAGCTAGTAACACATTCCCACACAACACGCTTATCTGATGCTCAGGAAGCGGAGCGCTTCCATGCTCAGAGCTGGTCAGAACTCAGCCAGCTGTGGGACGTCAAACACTCAAGCCACTATTACGAGTGTCTGTGTCTCATAAATCAAGCCATGAAAACTATGCCCACTTTTGATGCCGTCCAAAGGATTCAGCCGCCTTCATGCATTTATACGGACAGACAGGCATAGACTTCTGTACATTTCATCAGAGACGGCTTTCTGTTGCTCTCTCACTCTCCCACTCGTGACGCAAACAAAAGCCACCTGAAACTGAAAGAAATATAGAATATGCAAGTGTATTAATCAAACGTGCCAGGCAGACATTTTGCCCATTGTTATGGGGAGAGTGTAAGCTCTGTAGAGGCTACCATTTTTTATATCACAGACTCAAATTTATTTATTTAGATGGCAAGAACAATAGGTCCTCAGTCAGAGGGGCCCACAAGTTCCAGAGCCACTTCATCATTCACTTTTTAAGCACACTTGGCAAAACGAACGAGGTGACGTTCAGCCTAAATTTGTTTGTTTTGGTGTCACGCTTGATGTCCTATCTATAGTTAAAGCTACACCTATCAAATACTTATTACACATCTAAATGAGCACCGAGAAGCGATCCAGCTCTCACTGTAAATAATTAAATAAGTTCTTGAGTGCTAAAGACAAAGTCAAAAAAAGGAAAGAAAATGACAGAGCCTTCATGTTGTAAGACCAGCTGCTGCTGTGAGGCGTTGACAGTTTGCATCTGAGCATGTGTGTTAATGGCAGTATCGTTTGAAACATCTATGCCAAGTCGTCGGAAGCCGCAGCCCCCTATTTCACTCGACTTACCCATTTAAGTGCATTTAGGAAATATGTTTTTACACTTTTCAGAACTGCCTTCCACCCCCTCTGGCAGACTTAGAGCTCCCCCTAGCAGGTCATGGCCAGCACACTCTGCACTGCAAATGTAAAGTGGCCCAATTCAGCATCCAGAGAAAATGAAATAGAAACAAGGATATTTGATTCCCTGAACTGTAACAGAAATAAATCATATAAGCGTTTAAATGGCAAGCTTGAACATTTTCAGACCTGATTAGTTTGAATTAAAATATGCCTTGTTTAATTCTAAATAACCCCCTGCCTATTTCATACATGCAAATGACAATGAATAAGCAAACCTTTTAAATTAGTTAAATTAATAAATAAATAAAAGAAAGAAAGAAAAGAAAAAGAAAAGACAATGATTCTAGATTTCTGCTGCTGCACACCTCTCTTGCATTAATGCCTGTGTCTGTCTCCAAATTCATAGTGTTGATATTTTTTTTTTTTTTTACTATAATCAAATATGTTATTGTTTATATCTAAACAAGAAAGAATGCATTTCAATACAAGCTATTATCATAAATATAAATCTCTCAGATATGATGACATGAAGTCATGGCTAAAATGTATGTCTTAAATGCATTCAAAGCAAAGTTCCGATAAAGACATTTTCCTGTGCTGGCAGGTCTAATGTGAAACATGCATCTGAAAATTTATGTTACAACTTCATAATTCTGCAGCTCACCGGAGGAAAATTATCCTTCTCGCTGTCATCTGATTTCCTTCATTTAAAGACGACATCTGTTAACTCACTATTATGTTTATTTTAAAGCACTACATTATAAAACACACTGTGCGATGACATGAAAAATTTAACAGGTGTCAAAAATTTAATTTAAATTCGGACAATTCAGTGACGACACGCTCACGTGAATGCAAACATTTAGAAATGTGTCTGCAAATTATAGTAACTTATTGAACGTTAAGGGTTTGGAAGGCATGTGATACTCAGAATTAATTCTTACTAAAAATTAAAAAAAAACTACAAAATTGTAAAATACCCTTCAGTTAATAGCATATAATGAAAATCCCAGCATATGTAAAGGAAATGCGAAAATGCGCTAAACACTGTAACTGGTTGCATTTCACGCAGAACTAATAAACCACTGGGTTTATAGAATATGTGTTTGAGTGGCGTAATGTAGCACACAACCACAGGCTGCCAAACCATTAAAACTACTGATGTAAAGTACTGCAAAGTTTGCAGATCGCTCACGCCGAGAACACATAAATTAGCATGTGGATGTAAACTACACACACACTTGAACAGACAAAAATTGCCTCTCAATAACTCGAGGCTAATCCAGCTAAGACACCGTGGTTAACAAAAGCTAAATACCACAGAAGACATGCTGACGAGCAGACACACACACACACACACACACACACACACCCTTGTTTACAGCTCCAAATATGTCCTCAAAAATAAAACTTTGAGGTTGGGACCACACTGCTTTTGACTTTGACATTTAAAGCTAAATTTGACAATTTAACTATTACAGAGAAAAACCAGATATATCAACTGTCATCCACATATTCCTGCTCTACAAGAATCTATTTCACATAATCAGCCACATATCAAATGGAATAAGAGCGAACAAGGGTCTTTAAGCTTGCACACACACACACACCAGTATGCGTGAAGAGTTCATACGCTGCCTACTACAAATAAAAAAACCTTGTTACATCAAAATCATAGCCACAATCAGCATGTGATGAGAAATCTGAACTACGAGGAAAGAACGCACCCCAGAGCTCAGATGACTATCTGCTAGCACCTGGCCTACATGCCCTCTGCATTAAACCCACTAAGGCATGATACGTTTGAGGACCCTCTCTGAAGCTTATATATTCATTCACCGGTGATGCAATGAACACCTTTCAATCTCTAGTTTCTAAGAAGTAGAAAGTCGACCACCTTCCTTTCTCTCTCTCTCTCTCTTACTGTGTGCATATAAAAAAAATACTAAAGCTTGATGTCTAAACTGGCGTCTGCTTTACTCTGTGCACGTCTGCATTTGTGTCCGTTTGTGAGTATGTGTGTGTGTGTGTGTGAGAGAGAGAGAGAGAAAGCACTCAGGGAAAGTTCATTGGTGTAACTGGAGCATTCTGAAATTTAAAGCCCAAATTAATAACCACAGCCATTGTACATGCAATGACTGATGGGACATGTGATAACTATAGCGACAGAAATTCAAAAAGGGCCATTTTCTACTAAACTAGGATGATTGTTTTACATGCATTTTGAACGGATGGTGTTTATGCAGTAAACACAAACGGTTTACATGCTAGTGCACAATTAAATATGGAAAAAATATTTACAAATTACAGTCATAATCGCATATGCGGACAACATACAAAAAAAGCTGTGCATGCCCTATAGCAAAGCTAACTACATGAAATGCAAGCCAGATAATGTGCATTAAGCTTTAAATAACATCTCCATTCTCATTCGTTCATAAGTCATAGTCATATTCGTAAGTCATATTTGTAAACCTTAACAGTAAATTCAAACACACAATGCACAGGCATCCTAAATGTTTACAGTGCAACCGTGTACATGTGTATGTACAGTAACAGATTAA